CTGAATCCAAATAGAGAAAAAACACACAATAAAATATCTACCTAACGCTAGTTAATAAAATATCGAAAGATACTTCAAGACTATTTAAAAAATGAATAATACATTTTGCAGGCGATGAACTTGACCTATTATTATTTTCAAGTATTATAGCTTCATATCTAATAAATATTAGTTTCTTCGACTGCACCATCTTACGAAATGGTAAAATAAATTACGAAACAAAAAAATTTAGTTTCATAACCTAATTGTAATGTTTAATGAGCTTGCCCGAAGTAGAAGTTAGATTGCTCAATAACCAGAAGAGAAAGTTCTTTTGATATGTTTTTAATAGTTCTTAACTCTGTTTTATTATTTATAAAATATTTATTATTTCATTATTTTCAAATTTATAATTTTGCATTCAAAGTCCGAAGCTGTACGAACCACGTCATTTTACTTTTAAAAGTGGATGAGTTTTAAATAAATACAATGGACATTTCTTTCTATTCTACTCATTATTCAACTTGAGTCCTCTGTGAAAACATAACATTCTCGAATACTGACAAATGTTTCAACTTTCTTAAATCACTTTCACGTATGCACTGTCAGTATTTTTAAAAAATATACTATTCCTTTCGAAAAGGTAGAGTTGTTAAATTAATATTTTTTAAAATGATTTTCTTATAATAATAAATAATATTTCTTCATTAATATGCTTAATAAATTTAATACAATAATTGAACTTTGACTATATAAAACAATGTACTTTAATATTAATATTAATTGCACAACTATTGTAAAAAGGGTGTATTTTATTCTTATGGAACTTATGTTCTAAAATAATTATTTTTAAGTAATATTTTAAGGTGCAAACGCTTTACTAGCCATTTTTTTCTTCTATATATTTTTTAAAAATAATATCAGTATGATTTTGTTTTCTATTTGTGGCTATAAGTTTATTGACAAATATTTCTTTCGAATCTTAGGGTTAAACATAACCTGACAGGAGTTCGGTGGTATAATATTAACAAGTTATAGAAAAATATTTTTCATTAATATTCCTCACAATTAATAATAAAACTGGCAAGAAATAGTTTTAATTTTAAAATTCAAACGAGTATGACGCCTACTGATCACAACCCGGTAATATCCACTTCACCTTGAGTTAGCTTTATATAGCTTGGAGGCAAGGTTAGAAGGAAAAACAAGAAAAGAAATTGCCCTCACTTAACAAGACGCAGGAGGTGATCGAAAGAGAAGTCTTTATGAAAATATCAACTCCTATTATAAGTAAATATTTTATATCTAATTTTAAAGCCGTGAACCTATAAGTCAGCATTCTTCGTATTAGTCAATTCATTAAAACTTTTGGCAATTCATAAGTGAGTCACGAAAGGCTATCATCAATGCTTCTTGACAAATATAAGGTTATCAAGAACTAAGATCCAAATTCACAAATGATAATGAAATCAATAATTTGGAGAGTAAAAGAATTCGTTCCTTACTTTAATTATCCCTCAGAAAATGCGAACTAAGTCGTTCCCTATAAGCAACCCATGAAATATTCTTAAAGTCCAATTACCATCGAATGCGGGTCGTTAGATAATCCAGGTACTGGCAATTAAGACGAAAGAAAGATTAATTAATACACTAAATTAAGAGGAAATTGCGTAATTGCTTAGAGTTCCACGAACGGTAGGGTTCCGACCGTTCAGTCCAGTTGTAGGAAACGGTTTTATCAATGGACTTTCATCTCTCATTAATAGATTTTAATTTGATTTAGAGAAAAAAGAAACTTCGGAGGAACAGATAACATGCTTTTTTTTTTTCATGAATACACAACACTCATTGAGTTCTCTTGAAATGAATCATTGGACATACATCAATGTACTAGAGGAGAAAAAAAAAATTATTTTTGGAATAGAAACGTTCATTTATTTTCTATGGGCACATGTTGACCAAATGTTGAAGTATCACTCCTGGATGATCGAGAAAGGAACGAATAGCGGTTCGATTTCGACCTGTGATGATTACTTTTTTGTGAAAGAACAAAAAAACAATTTTCTATCATCACCAAGAATGGAATAAAGTCCGTGGTACGTATTCCTTTTTATCAAATTATTAACACCCACCTGAAACTTTGTGAATAGCTTCATCTCATCGTAATCTACAAATATTTTATTTAAATTCTCGGTATTGGGACGTTTCCAATCTGGAGGTCGGCAAACTTTGTCTATTTAATTAGGTACTAAAAACTCGTAAATACCCATTTTTTCCACTTGAACCGTATGATAACTTTAGCACAAAGTCGATAAAAAAGATGGCCTTCAAAAATATTGAACCGTTTGCCGTAACCTACACCCCCAAATTTTCAAAATAACGAGGTTGTATAGGCTAAACGGGCCAATATTTTTGAAGGCCATCTTTTTTATCGATTATGTAATCAAATTATAATTCGATTTAAGTGGAAAGAAAATGGGTATTTACGAGGTTTTAGTATATAATTAAATAGACAATTTTCGTAAATAAAATAATTGTAGGTTAGGATGAGATGAAGCTATTCACAAAGTTTCAGGCGGATGTTAATAATTTGATAAAAAGGGGTTTGTACCACGGATTAATAAGTTTTTTTTTTCTTTGTTAAAAGAATATTAAAATAGTTTTCAGTAGTTGATTGGTGTGTTCCATGCACTATAAAACCAAATAAAATAGCAGATTTATTATTATTACAATGCCCGGTTGAAAAAATAAATTAAATTTAATACCGCGGAACTCATATAATGTTATTGAAAAAAAAATCAGCGGCATAATTGAAACCTCAAACTGTACATTTATGAGACGGCCAATGTTAGTTTATTTGCAGTGTTGAGGTTATCAACTTTATCATGTCGTAAAATATTTTATTGCAAGGCACGTTTTGTTTTTTAAAGGCCATTAAACAGTTGCTGGTAAAACGATAAAATTCAGATCCGGGAAACTGACCTAGAGAGAAAATGGGACGCTCGTCAAGTCTAATAAGCGTCCTCATTGCCAAACGGTTTAGTTCTTATAGGTTATTATTACAAAATATTCGCAATTTAATTATTTATATACCGTTATATTTATATTTTTTATAATTGTTTATGTTTTCAGCAAACTAAATGTTTATAATACTAACCCATCATTAATCAAATCATCATAAACATACTAATAACTTCGTTTAGTATTAGTTGAAGTTAATTGTGTTTCTTAGCTAAACTGTAATATTTTACACTTATGTACATTTAATTTCATTGGTTAGAATCATAATTAAATAAATAAATATCTGTCTATATAATTTTAATAATACCAACTACTTTCTATAGATACATGTTTAAAGGTACTATTAGAATATTTTTATGCTTTACAATATATATATTTTCACACATATATGTTTAGAGGTACTATTAGGGACTATTTAGAATTTTTTGGAAAATCATAAAAATTTTAATCCGGGATTGGATTGAAATTTATTGAGAAATGAGGATTACGTCACCTCTAGAACTATTTTTGGTCGGCTGACCCAAAAAGCGTTCAAAATTTTGAAAATGGGAGGCGGACCAAGGTGGACGACTTCCTAAGCAAGTGCCCTTTATTCAAATGAATTTATTAATAGGTTACATCTTTCCATCTCCCAAGGCAGGTAGAAGACTTAAAATATTTAAACAAAACATTGAAATTATTATAAATATATTCTTTTGTTAATAAAGGTATTCAATATCTTGAACCATTGAAATAAAAACTACAATTCATGATAACTCCAACTTCAAAACGGCACAGGGTATTCTTTAACGATTTAATTAAATACATTTAATAGATTTTAATTATTATCATATGACTATGAAAACATATCTTAATTGATGCTGCACCCTTTTGATAAGCCAAATGGTGTTATGATATTGGAAAACACGTCTTGAAATAAAACGTTTATCTATAGGCAATAGTTAACACTGCTTATGAATTGGATCATAGTTTTTTATTAACAGAATACATGAGTGAAATAATATATAAAAAAAATATTAAAATATATTGCTAGTGATATCAATATAAAAAAAGGATTTGATAGAGAATAGTAACTTGGTAAAGTTCTTTACACCTTTTTATTGCTGTTTGTAAACTAAGTAAATTTTTTAATCATATTAATATCACTACCATTTTTATGATGCTGCTTAACAATATTTTTACTTATTTTCTAAAAAATTAAATTAAAAAACTGCTTAAACATATATAGATTGATAATCATCATAGGAGGATAAAGAGATTCGAATGGATTTTGCAATTGCATCGAATCGCCGGCATAGCGCTACTTGTTACAAGGCTTTTTGAAAACCGGTTTTAGAATCTTCGATTTTTGAAATTTCTTTTTTTTTGGGAGGATGGGATTTCATATCATGCCTTCTTAAATATAAGTTCATTTAAAATGAAACTAAATTTACAGATTTTTTTTCATTATTCCTGATTAAACATATATACAGTATCCGGTAATATGAATATTCTGCACTGGTTCATAATTAATAATTTGAAATGTTTTTTAAATATTCAATTAATTTTTTCTAGTCTTAAATTTTTTTTTTTTCATTTTACTCGTTATGCAATAGATTCATACAAAAACAGAAAGATTGAGTAAACTTGAAACAATTGAGATGTATTCCTATTTGTGTATATTTATCACTTTCACTTCACTTCAAATATACTTCAACGAATAAATTACTATTTTTTTTTATGCATGAAATGATGGGACTTTTCACTTGAAAGGAATTCAATATATGTATTATTAGAAGAAAAAAAATCAACGTAAATTTCACTATTTTTTAAACCAATTTTCCAAAATAAACAGATTCGAAAATTTCATCAATATGCAGATGAACAGCACGTTTCCTGGTAGTTGAAGAAGCGCTCATATTAAGGGGTTGCTCCGACTACCCTCTACACCAACCGTTTAAGTCTCCTCTTACATCTTATACCAGCGTTAAAGTTTCCGAAGATGGAAGATGACTACTTACCGATGGCGAGGCCTAATAATAAAATGGCGGCTGTCTTCATGTTGGCTGTGACACTGACACTATGGACGGGTACTGTGAGCCCTGCCCTGAAGAATATATACCCTGCCCCCACTATCCTTACTCCCCTCCTCGCAAGAACTTCTGCCGCACACGGTACCTTCTAGTTTGTATAACACCCACACAACTTCCTCGGGAAGTTCGGGTTCGCCTCAAAGTCAATACCGTTGGAAGATCATCTCTAAGGGATGAATTACCATAATAAAAGAAGAAGAAAAAAAATTAATTAAACGGTGTTATTAAGGGTTAGGCATAACTTCGAAAGCATCATTACTTAGGAATCGTTGTCTATTTAATTTTTATAAGTTAATAGTAAGTTTGTTTAACATCTTATTGACCATTTAAGTTCTATTGGGGCAGTACTTAACACTTTTTTGATATAACCGGCGTCGTTGTCATCATATAAATCGAATTATCTATTTCTGGTAAGACTAATATATAATGATCAACTAATATAAGTAAATTAAATATACATCTCACAAGCACAAGATAATATCTTTTAAAATACTGAAAATGACCATTTTTAAGTAAAAAAAAAAAATAGTCAGAGAATTTATTGTTTCAAACGTTTATCCATTATTGAAAAAGTATTTTTATTGAATTAATCATAAAAAAATAAGAGTTTATATGCTTAGGCTTGGATTATTTTTTTAATATCGATGATTACTCTGGAAGAAAAAAAAGTAACTATATGACATAATGTTTATGTGGTCTTGAAGACATGTTATTAAAAAACAACGTTACAGGAACAACAATGCTTTTAGGAATATTTTTTCTTGATACATTTATTAGTTGGAATACATTGTGATTGTTTAAATATTTAATTCTGATCACTGACAGAAACAAATTTGGACTAATGAAAAATAAAAATATTTTTTCTATTTTGGGAGCTTCAGCCAGAAAGCATCCCTCCATCTATGAATTGGCCAGGGATCCATTGTGGGCAAAATCTCGAATACAGTAGGAAAATATTTAAAACAAGAATGTACTTAAATATTTAACTGAGGAATAAAGTTATGAAGTAGATCTAAAAAAAACCCATTGAATTTGAAAAGTTTGTAATGAGTAAAGTTATAAAATGAAAAAGTGACAAATGAATAAAGGTAAAAAACGTATAATAAAATTAAATATCTCTATATAATTTACTCTTTAATCATTTATAGTATAATAATAATAATAGATGTCTGAGATTTTTAATTTATTGCTAAGCAGTTTTATATTTTATGAATATTTATAATATTTTAATTTTGAAAAATATTTGAGATAAATTATATTATTTTGCATTTTATATTAATACGTTAAAATAAAACAATATTTTAAAAAAACATAATATAATACCAACGGCTAACAAAATAGTTAACAAATATATAAAATTATAAACTAGCATAAAAATAACTGCGTATTTGATTGTTTACGCAGCTAGGTTTTAAATAAAAAATTGGGCATACCATATAGATTAAAAATATGTCAACCAGAAGAAATACAGACGATTTGTTGCTATAATTTGTGTTAATAAATAATAAACAACAAATATTTTAATAGAAAAGGTAACAAGGTGAGAAATTACAATTACCTTTCTTTCTTTAGATTTATCCTATTGAATTCTTAGTGTTAACATTCAAAACTGATTTCTCTGGTTCAATGTCACTGTCTAGTCTAGATTGGATAGAAACAATTTATATTTATTAAATATTGTTTATTTATTGAATATTAAATATTCAACATTTGTTCACGTTAAATTTTTTTTTAGGCAACTGCGTCATCGCATATAAGGAAATATAAATTATAATTTGATTTGACCGATGTAGACACAAAAAATTTAGGAACATTTTTAATAATATAAAACAGTAAATTGAAATATGTCTTATAGGTTATATCAAATATATTTCATTTTAATTAATTTGGATGTGATCTTTAAATATGTAATTTTTCTTACTTAGTCATTTTCTTCGAAATTTCGATATCCAGATATTAAATTAATTAATACATAATTTATTTTGTACATGCACATATTTTACCATATCATACTGTAATATTATTGATTATTTACTCATGTGGAAAAATGCCGAACTAATATTACAATATTATTGCAGTTTTTTGTTTATTTATTTCTTATGTAGGCATTAAATAAAAAACAAAATATACATAAGGGTTTGAAGAGCAATAATTCAGCTTTCCAAGGGATATAGTAACATCGAATTTAGGTATATCATGAAGAATTATGAATGATCGGAAGGGTATTGTGTTCCACCAAGACAACGCAAGGCCCCACACCTCATTGGTCACTCGCAATAAATTATTGAGCCTAGGATGGGACCATTTGCCCCATCCTCCATACTCACCAGACCTAGCTCCAAGTGACTACCACTTATTCCGGTACTCCATGAATGGAAAGAAATTCTAAAAGGATGAGGACATTAAAGACCACTTGGATCAGTTTTTTAACAATAAACTCCAGACAATCTATGAATACGGCATTATGCAGTTGGTGGAAAGATGGGTGAAAGTCATATTAAATAATGGTCAATATATTGTAGGCTAAAATAAATTTTATGTATATAATACATTGAGTTTTATTTCACTCTGAAAAACCGAAAGGAGTTATTTGTCAACCCAATAAAATAGCACTAATTTTAATTAAATGCAAAAACTAAATTAGCTTATCTTGTTATTTAATAAACAACCGGTAATTAATTAACAAGCTAATTGCCAACTTATAGAACTAGTATAAGTAAGGAAAGGAAGAAAAAATATAGTAAATAAAAAAGGAATATATAATTTTATTTCATATTGGTCTTTTCATGTTGAATCAACATTGCTTCTAAGAAACGAAAAAAAAAAAAAAAAGAATTTATCTTTAATTTTTTATACCAGTATGGTGAGGAGTCATAAAAAGAAAAAGATAATGAATAAATTCATATACAATAAAAAATTTAATGTCTCAAAATTTTAATAATTGTCTTAAGATAACATTTTTGTCATTGGAAATATTTTTATAATAAAAAAATGTAAAAAACAGAAAAATGATTGGGATAGAGTGAAAATCTTGAGTGTGATTTTATTATACGGATCATTGCGCTAATATAATTTTTATTCGACACATTAACAAAGATGTAAATACGATAATTACACTCTAATCATGTTGTATTAATTACAAATAGTTTATATTAGCAGATTATTTAGGTGAAGGTTCTCATTCGAATTTAAACTTATTTCTAAATGTAAATATAATATTAATTATAGTACTGAATTATAATTATTGCAAGAATTTCACCTTACGTCGGATCGACCTTGCGGAAGGCTGTGGAACGTGATAGATAATAATTAAGTGGTCATTCTGCATCTCTAACCTTCCGGTACAGAGTGTTATTATTCATAACAATTCATTTCAATTATAAATTAATTTTATGATAATGTCTCATTAAAAAATCGTTATTTTAATGTTTTCATTGAATTATTTTTTAAAATTTTGAGTTGAAATATTTTTATCTCATTTTTTCCCTAAATTGAATGAACACCGGACAACAATAAACCAGGAAATAACTAGCGCTAACAGAGCTTTCTTCTCCCTCTCAAATGTATTGGTATTGAAATCCCGACAAATCTCAAGAAATTTCAAATTAAGAGTGTACAATGCTATGATAAAGCCAGCTCTAATATATGGCTGTGAGACCTGGACACAAACCCTAGGAAAAAGTGTTGAAAGATTTGAGCGGAAAATCCTCCGCACGATAACCAGAGCGATCTGGAATCGGATTAATAACACTTGGAGAAGAATGACCAAAAAAGAACTATTTGCAGAAACTGGTCAATCAATATTCCTTGATGTGAAGGCATGAAGGTTAAGATGCTCGTGTAGCTCGTAGCAATCCATCTGGAACACTAGCGGATCCAGGATTTAACTTTGAGGGGGCTTAAGCCCGAAAGATTTTTTTTTTCATATACATATAACGATAATTAATTTGAAAAAAATAATAAAGAAATTAATTACCTATATGAAATGGTGTTTAAGTGGTTCTTGAAGTCCTATTAAATATAATTACAAGGAAAAGAATACTTTAACAGATAGTTTTAAATATTTTTTTCTGTAAAACATGGTTAAATTTTACCATTTTTTTTGGGGGAGGGGGCTTCAGCCCGAGAGCCTCTCCTGCCCCCGTTGATCCGCCTGTGACCTGGAAGCCTGTACGTAACAATGAATGGCTCAATAGAAGATAAAAGACCACGTGGAAGGCCAAAAAAAAAATAATAATAAATAAATATTTTCCCAAACCTTTTTACAAAACATGAATTGACATCGAATTTAAAGCTGTTTTTAAGAGGAAAAAAACAAACTCAAAGAGGAAACAAAAAAAGCTACTCTAAAAATATAAACATTAATTTTATACTTGAAAAGGTAATAATCACTTTGTTGTTCACACAGCTTTCCAACTAATTGTGTTTTCGAGAGCGTTGACTAACTAAATGGTTTTCCATTTACAGACGAGTAGTAATATACTTCTCATGAAACCTTGATACATTTGAAAATTATAACGAATTTTTTAATATTTAAGAAAAAAAGATAAACAACAGAAAAAGTAATTATGTTTAAAAGATATTTAAATCGTAATTTTTAGATCATACCGTTGGTCGGGAACTGCGGTATCCAAGTTAATAAGTCCGAGGAATAAAATGTAAGTACATTTCGAGTTGTTTTGATTTAAGTTGTTTTTACTAAAAAATGCATTTTTTTCTCAGATTATAAGTAATTGTCTTCCCAATTTATTCAAGATTAAATATATAACGTTATAAGAATTTCTTTTTTTTATTGATTTTAGCAAAGGGTTATTGGAATAATTTTTGAAAAAATGTATACCATCACTTTTGGTAATGTTGAAATTTATTTTATACTTAGATCTCTTGACTACAAAAGAAGTGTATTTATCTAACATTTGTTAATGTCTGCAGTTAACCTAATGTTGAAAATTTTAAGACTCCAGGGTTGACTCTGGAATATTCCCTCCTAAAAATGTTTTATAGTCCCTATTTGCTCTTCTGGGCATC